ATACATCAACCTTGCAATCCATGCTTTAACCCCTGCAGTTGCCCCTCTCCTGCAGCATGTTTGGGATGGGAGATGAAGGAATGGAGGTACTGTAATTTCTATATTTAGCCCCCTCTCTTTTAAGTCCCTCTCCAATACTCCCCCCTCCTCTTTTTGGTTACAAATATAAAAAATAAATAAGCCCCCCCCCTTTTAACCATGCAGCCTCCAATTAATTCTTAAAATCATGAATTATATTGCATTTCTGCAGTATTTTAATTAATAAAATATAGTACAATGGTAACTCTGAATATGGGCATTTTTTAATGGTAATGGTTCCTAGATATTTGGAACAAGTGCCCCCTCAATGATGCTTGGGAAAAAATAACACCCAGGAGGCTTGATACAGAAATTAAAGTAGCTACCTGATTGAAACTGGTAGGTATTTCAATCCTACTGTATCTCCTTTTATATATAATTGGATTAATTGCCAATATATTCACATGGAATAATAGTTTGGAAATGGAATCAATGCTTGTAATTATATTTTTAGCAAATGAGCATTGTTATTGATCCACAATGACTCTTATTGCTATAAACAACATTGTTTCACATAGCAACAGACAAGGAAACAACTGTATTTAAATTCACCACTTATTTTTTATCCAGACACAAATGCTTCTTTAACCGCGACCTTGATGCAAAAATTATTTCAGGTTTGGCTTAGTTACAGCCTTACATAATGCTGTCAAGTGGTAATCATTTATTTACAAAGCAGGTCTTTAACCAAATGTTTTACAACCTGAGGAACTTCTTAAATTAATTATTCTATAATTGATACAGATGCTACAAAAACACCTGGCATCTTAAATTTATAGGGAACTTCTTTTACAAAAGCACAACTCTAAGACACAGGTTACAACATGTTGAGTGTTGACCATAATTGATGTGTAGTTAAGTGACCTCTTAGCGGTTAGGTGGAAAACGCGGACATGCGGACACGCGGACATGCGGACACGCAGGCCAAGTGGAAAACGCGGACATGCAGGTCAGGTGGAAAACGCGGACACGAAATTTACTAAACTTCAAAAAGTCTATTACTACAATAATTAATAATTTTTCGCGTGATATTGAAAGTTATCAACGCCGAGGTTGTGTTATTCGTGATGACGATTAAAACATACTGCATGTAGTTGAAACTTGAATATATGAAAACGTTTCTTTTCTGAATTGCCGTTGTATTTTACTGTAAGTAAAATACATGAAAACAGTAAAAGTTCGCGTAACAATCCATTATCAATCTTCAGTCATTATTTCCTGTACAATCTCCGTTTTAATTGTGTAATTATGACATCACACCTGCAGATATAGCTTTCTGAATGTAATTATGACATCAATTCTGCAGAGAATAATTGCCAGCAAAAACGAGCTTCTTTACATGCAGAACATATAAAGCCATGGCCCATGGCGAGATTTGTCTCTGTAACTAAAAAAAGAAGCGAAATACACTAAATGAGCTTACAAACTAAGACAGAGAAAAGAGAGAAAAATATAACTGTTATAACACAACCTTGTTAATATAAGTGTTATAACACAACCTTGGCCTTGATAACTTTCAATATCACGCGAAAAATTATTAATTATTGTCGTAATAGATTTTTTGAAGTTCAGTAAATTTCGTGTCCGCATGTCCGCGTTTTCCACCTGACCTGCGTGTCCGTGTTTCCCACTTGACCTGCGTGTCCGCATGTCCGCGTTTTCCACCTAACCCCTCTTAGTACATATATGTATAGGTTATTTTGAGGCAACGAGGGGATATGTGATTTATTCACCGAGGCGCGCAGCGCCGAGGTGAATAAACACATATCCCCGAGGTGCCTCAAAATAACGTACTTATTTTTCACACTGCGAGGTCGCGTTAATGAGTCAGAAAAGAAATAATTCTTAATGCCATTTTGCCTTCGCGTTGTTGTTTTTTCCTCATTTTTTGTGCTGCAAAGACATTGCAGGTGAATATTAGAGGGGATTATTTATTGCAGGTGAATATTAGAGGGGATTATTAAACGGAAATTGATTAGAATATTGAATATATTCCCCGACAAGAACAAAGGAAACCGAGCAGGGTGAAAAATAAGTCAAGTAAACATGAAACGGAAGATCTAATGTACTGTATTGTTCCAGAGGAGGTTGGACAGCAGGTCGCAAAGCATCATGGGTAGTGAGCGCCTAATTCCACGCGTGGCTTCATTGACTGTTGACTGTCGAGGAGTGAACATCTCCCTGACTGAACCAATATGGAAGCTTTCGAACGACAAGAGTGCCAGGCTGCGATACTTTGTGAAAAGAAACAGCATGTTATTGCTGTATTGTTGTGATCATGATTATGACTTGTGTTTTACTATATCAAGTTTACCTTTTTTAAATTGCATGGGACGTGCTGTCATTTTAGCTGTATAAATAATCCGTCTGACAAAAGGAATTGTGAAATCTGCTGTGTTGGTGTAATGTACTCAGGTGAATAAGATGTTTGGGTGATGTTACTCTGAGTGTATATCCACACCGGGCAGGCTTGAAAAATATGCCTGGCCACGGCGGGATTCGAACCTACGACCTTTGGAATACTTGTCCAATGCTCTTCCAACTGAGCTACGCGGTCAGGTCGGTTTGAGTTTGCGATATTTCGGAACTGAGTCTAGTTCCTTCGATATCAGTGTAATCTAATAATCATGAAATCTGCTGTGTTGGTGTAATGTACTCAGGTGAATAAGATGTTTGTGCCAGTAAGATGCCTGGCCAATATACTAGCCCAATATACTAGCCCAATGCTCTTCCAACTGAGCTATTCCAAAGGTGGTAGGTTCGAATCCCGCCGTGGCCAGGCATAATTTTCAAGCCTGCCCGGTGTGGATATACACTCAGAGTAACATCACACAAACATCTTATTCACCTAAGTACATTACACCAACACAGCAGATTTCATGATTATTAGATTACACTGATATCGAAGGAACTAGACTCAGTTCCGAAATATCGCAAACTCGAACCGACCTGACCGCGTAGCTCAGTTGGACGAGCATTGGGCTAGTATTCCAAAGGTCGTAGGTTCGAATCCCGCCGTGGCCAGGCATATTTTTCAAGCCTGCCCGGTGTGGATATACGCTCAGAGTAACATCACACAAACAAAAGGAATTGTGTTTAATTTTACATTCCCAAAAGCGAGGCTCTTCTTTCTAAGTTGGATGGCGTTTTAAATCTACGTGTATCATCAACGTGAAAACAAGCGCAGTATTTAAGGTTGGTATACTACAATGCATTACAGCGATCGTGTTATTTTATAGTCAAATTTCCGCTTTGTTTTTATTCTTGTACTGTAATTTTATAAATACACTGTTCAAAATTATGGCGTCATACTTGTGTTTATAATGCCTCTAGTTTGACCCTATTGTGTGTGTATATGTACTGCGCCACTGTGATACATATGTACATGTTTTGAGTTAAACGAATTGTTTAATAAATTTTTGCTGAAGTAGGATGCCTGTTTGTATGGATAGATTTTTACATATACATGTGCATACAGTATAGTTAATACATTGGTTCTTAGATGAGTCTGAAGGTATATTGTTATTCAGACAGTTATTTGTATGTATTGTTTTATAAATTTTGCTGAGTATGATGCCTGTTTGTATCTAGTTGTGGATGGTTGTGAGAATATAATTTTAGAGGTTTATACATGTTTACTAATTCTAGAGATGATAATGTATCAAATAATAATTTTCTTATTATGATTTTGTAGAAAGAGATTTACTTGAGTGGTTGGCTGGTCTTGAGCCTGTTCAGGATGGATATGATAATGAAAGAGGTGATCAAGGTGATAGGGCAGAAAGTGCATGATGATGTTTAAGTGAGAAGATGAAAGTGATGAGGAAGAAATCGCCCACGCTGTACCATTCAAGTGTATCGGTGCTGCTCGTGAGAAAAACTACCAACATCATTTGCAAAATTAAGGCATAATACGTCACTCTTCATGAACAAGATAAAACAGTGAATGTAAGAATATGGCCAGCACCATTGAATCCAAGGGACCCAAGTGCAATAGGCAATTCCAGCTTTTAGTTTATTTTATTAAACATTTTCAGCATACTCAGCAATATGATACCTTACTTCCTGTCGCCCCCTGCACACATAAATTAAAAGCTGGAATTGCCTATTGACTAGACTATGGAACTGGATGGACAACATTTGGTTGTATTGCTTTTGTACTATGCAAGTATTTGCATCCACTAATTGCTGCAGATGTCGTGGATGTCTATTGTGGAAACATTTCTAGTGGGGTGCAAGCAGCACCACTGAGTGAGTTTCTTACAGGGGTTAGGCATTAGGGTTAAAGACTTTTGAAGCAAAATTTTGGTGGGGTTGAACACTTTATAAGAGGGGTTAGAGAGATTCTAAGGGGGAGGGGGGGG